CAAATAAGGTTGATATTTTTTCGATTTTCAGATCTTGACGAAACGAACATCCTATGTAACGAGCCCTATAAAGTAGTAGTATGTTTTGATGAAATGATAGACAAATAAAATTTGAATCCTATGATAATATAACTAGCAACTGCCAATGCTTTGTTTCGGCAATTATTTTGAGATGAAACATGATATGATAAGTTCTGTAGTATTACCATTTAATTTGTATAATACTTTTTATCATGAGCATATCGTCATGTCTGACAACCTTCTTTCATTCAAGTAAATAAGCATGGGAGGAAAAATAATTATTCTATACAATGATATAAAGAATGAATAGAATTTAATTAAACAAGGCTTTAACTTCTAGACACACACAATGTAATGCAGGAAGTAAGTTAAAAGAAATTTGCCACTTAAAGCTGTAATAGAATCAAAGTTCAACAATAGACTGGTGAAATAATATAAAAAAGGAAATACAAAAAAAACATTATTTCTTTTTTCAAACAACAAAGACCTAAATAGTGTATATGATTTATAAAACTCATTTTTATTTAATAAGAACTCACTATATTTTCTTCTATTTCATTTGTTTTACTACCTTTAATAAGAATTTCATATTGATACAGTATAATATTATTATTTGTAATAATCACAAGAAATGACTACTTGCTTTAGTTGTTTTTTATCGGAAAGCTGTACTTTATAGAACTCATTTAAACGATTCATAACACTAATAATAAGACAAAAGTTTTTGCAAACCTGTTATATGAGGTATGCTTCATGTGTAACCGAATGGCGTGATTAATAATTTAGAGAGTATGCGACTTATATGAAAATAATTGTAATTGCTCAATGCCAACATTTTTACATCGTCACATCAGTATAATAAAATGACATTACAAAAGCTACTTAAGAAAAAAGCATTATTTCGAAATAAATCAATGTGCAGTAATTCCTATTGTATATACGATAGTCTTTATATAAAATGTTCAATCTTGCTCATAAAAATAAATAAAGTTTTCAGTTGATTGTTTCATATTAAAATTCAGATAAATAGATGAAGAAATTTTATCAAAAACTTTCTCAAAAAAAAACACCATTTTGTAGTGTTCCAGGTCCAGAAATCAGATAGTAAGATCTTGCAGACCAGACGAAATCATATGAAAATCGTACGATAAATCGTCGTCTCAGAAATCTTGCATCAGATCGTACTATAAGATTCTTGAAAGATCTTACCACTCCATGAGATTTTTTTATAACTTTACAGTAAGATCTGATAAGACAACAAGATCTGTCAAGAGTCTTATAGTACGAATTGATGTAGAATCTTGTCAGATCTGAATGTCTGTTTGATTGATCTGGAATTCCCAGTCAGAAAATCAGACATAAGATCTTATAAGATTATATGAAGTCATATTAGAAATCGGAGTCTCAGAAATCTTACACAAAATCTTACTATAAGATTCTTGAAAGATCTTATTATCTGATTGTTTTTCCTGGATATAAGAATTTATGGTTTCTGCAAAATTTACATCAACTCAAGTCAAACAATCAAACGGTCAAGTCTTTCAAAAATCTTATAGTACAATTTAGTATAAGATTTCTGAGACTATGATTTTTTGTATAATTTCACTTGATCTTACAAGATCATATATATAACTTTTTGATCGATGTGAATCTATAAAATCGAAGAAGATCATATGCGATATCGTGTAAGTTCAAAATATCATGTAGTAAATTTCTACATGACCCTGTAAGAATTACACAAGATTTATAGATAGATTCTTGTATTAGGATGGAGTTTAAAAATTAAATTGTTGCTTGAATGATATAGCCCATGCATTGAACATAGCAGTATTCCAAAGAATTCTTGACATTGTAGATTAATGAACAGACTAGTCTACTCTATGTATATATATATATTGGTCATGAAATAATCTGTAACGAAATTAAAAAGCTAAACAAAGGTTAGTGTCAAATGGTTTTACATGTTGTGACATATATTTGTAATGCACTCATTGGTGATCTTTTACTGACCCTTTTGCTTCTTCTCTACTTTTATTATTGCTGAGTGCTCATGTCTGTTCTGTTTCTTTTTTTGTCTTATGCACCCGTTCTTACTCTCGCGACGCTAGTTTTTTTTTTTTTCATTCTTTCTAGTATTAGTTGTTCGTTTCTTTTGCTTTGAAACGGCTTTCTCGTACCGTAGTATAATTCTTTTTTTTTCTTTTTCTTTCTATCTTCTTCTTTGCTTCTTTAGACGACAACAACTCATCATTCGCACAACATTCATAAAAAAAATGTAAAAACAAGTTATGTTTTTATACTTGGTCTTGTTCTAATAAAAGACTAACTGATACGCCGGAAACAATGAGAAACAACGATCCACAATATTGTTCTAAATCATCACAAAATGTGTTCGATAAATTATCAAATAAAATTTCAGCAATTAGAGGAGATATAAATGTAGCTGTTAAAGAACGACGTCGTTCAATTTCTTCTGATCGTCAAAACTCAATGTCTTCAACAAGTAGTTTAGCAACTATGAATATAGTTGCATTTTCATTGCACGATGATACTTCATCTATAACGATGCAAACAAGAGAGTTATCGAAAAAATCGGGTGAGTATCAATTCGTAAATTTAGACATCTAGAAGTCGTACTCAATAGGTTTGAATTTTTACAAAAGGTAACTTTAGTACAATAGTGACTAATGTCTTGTGAAATATTTTATAACAAAAATAGTCTAATTTTTCTTCCGTTCTTATTGCAAAGAACGGCAAAATGTCATATAAATGCCAAAAGATCTCGCTGAGATAAGCTCATGTTAGACTTGCACATGTTTATTTCACATATATTCAGGAAGTATAAATGTTTTAATTGAATAAAGATGGAAACGTTTTTATAGAATGATAAATGTGATTATCTTGATTTTTCTCCGTATAACGAACACTATGAAAAAACATCGTATGTTAATAAAATAAACCAATTATTCATTATTTTGGTTATCTTAACTAAGTACATAAATGTGAGCTTCAATGAATGACACATTGACACCGAGTATATCGAGCATTATTTAATGAAGATAACTAAATATTAAATGGAATATTATCACATTGATTTCAATATGATTTTTTTAAATAAGGAATCATCAAATCGAAGTTGACAGATGTAATAGTAATTTTTAAATTTGTAAGAATTTCGAAGATTTATAAGAATTTACTCGAAGAAAAATGCAATTACAAAAAAAATATCAAATAATTAACGGTTGAGTTATAAAATGTATCGAACTTAATGTAAGTACAATTTTTCTCATTTAAATTCATGCAGAATATTCATTTATATACCAAAAGATAGAGAATTCCACTCTTAAAAAGAACATTTTGCTTATGCACGACAATTCAAACATTTGCATATTCTTTTTTTCCACTGCAACGGATCGTTACACATGTTTTTCAAAAGTCTGAAGGATCTTGAAAACAAAGAATTTTAAAACATTTCAATATCTAAGTTTTTCTGAAAAGTTGAAAATCCCTTGTGAATATCCTTCGTGGGAACTTTTTGAAGAAGTAAATTTTTTTCGATTTAAAGTTCAGATTCAAATGCCTTATTTGGACACAAAAAAAATGAAGAATTTCATTTTCTACAAGACTGGTGAACCGTGGTGCCACATGCTTTCGTCGAAACTCGTGAAAAATCGAGCAGATTCCACAATGGATGTAAATTTTTTTTTTAATTTATAGTGTCTTGAATTTTTACATGAAGCTATGGTTTAAAACTTTGACAGATAGACGATTTCATCGAGTATATTTTCAACTTGTTTTTTAGAAATCTAGTGAATTTCTTAGGAACGATGTTACATTTATTTTCGCTCAGCAGTAGGAATATACACAGTGTATGTCAGTATGTTACTTACTTCATACTTAAAAAAAAGTTCGTGATAAAAATGAAGTACACAATTTAGTAGAGCTTAAAATTCTTCATCCTTTGATGTATAAATGCATAGTAAATGAGTGGAAAATTGCATTTACAATTAGTCCGATTCATTATAATTCACGCCTTATTTCTCTTTCTGTTTTATATTAAAAAACTCATTTTTCATGGATTCAATGATGCAAGTATCATAATGAAAAATCTAAGCACAAAAGTAATTCGCTTTTCGATGATATAGAAAATCATGAGACTACAAAGATACCATATCAATGTAAAAGATTTTATTTCGAGATATTTTATAAAGTAACCTGTTGTAAAAGCTCTTTGCACAACGTACTTAGGCTATTTATATATAAGTCATTGAAGAGAATTAAAATTAGTCAGCTAGAATCAGAATTTCTTGCTATTTCTAACAATACATTAAGAATTTATTTTCTAGCGTAAAGATATTTCATTGAGAACAAATTTTTGACGGAAATTAAAAAATGGCACTTTTACAGAATTTTTTCTCGTAGTTCAAATTTGTATTTTGATAAAAACTATTTCAAGCCAAACTATAAGGAAATATTTTTATACATTAGGTTGTGGATCGAGAACGCTACAAATGATCGAAATCGATTGCATTCTGAATACCGAAAAAATTCGAAACAAGTGACTTTTTTGAAAAATGCCGTCTTACCTAAATAGTAACTGTTCAAAAAAAAAAACTATATAGAGGTGAATTCTTTTTTACTTCTAGCTTATTGTAATGAAGTATTTTATAGAAAATTAAATTCTGTGCAATATTACCAACTTGAAACTATTCTAAAATTTCATTTAGACTTTAACCAAGAAAAACAATTCTTAATATATAATTACACATAGTATGACATTCTCATTCCAGTTGATTACTTTTGATTCTCTTCAGTGATTTATAAATAGACAAAACACAATCAGATCTACTATGTCAATAATTTGTGCACGTAGGTTATAGACACACAAAAAAAATAGTAGTTCTAATATCATATTCAGTTAGAATAAACTCTTCCTCAAACTTATAAGTCACTTTATATTAAAATAACTTGTTTGTTATATGTTGTCAGGTGATACAGGATCATTATCAACACTTGCATCATCATCTAGTGCAATCCAAACTTCACCGTCTCGTCGTATCATTGATCATTTGACTTTGAATACGGATTTTAGTGGCATGAAGTCAAGTATTAGTAAATCTTCTAGTTTATCAATTCCCACTACAAAAAGTTCAACATCTTCACTAAATTCTACTGGTACTGCTCACTCATCAATTATAACTCCTTCACATTCGCCAAGAAAACTTGAATCAATTCAAAATATGTCTACATTTACAGACAATTCAAAAGATGCATTTAGTGGTGTCAAGGAACGTCTAATTGCCAAAATTGATCCTGTCGAAATGACTATAAAACCTACTATTATTACTGTACCACAAGATACTGTAAAACGATCAGCTATGCTTCTTGCTGGATCCAAATTTCGATTAAATATCAAGAAAATACCCGAGAACAAGTTAAAACTAAATAGTGTTACTCTTTATTCAATTTCGGTAAGCACAATAATTACTCTTGAACAACAACTGTTGAAGTTTTGTATTTCAAAAAAGAAAAAAACCTAAGAAGATATTTTTTCTAGCTAAGTCATCACTTAGAATTTCATAAAATGTAAAAACTAAACACTTATAATTCAAATTTAATGTCTAATCAAATACTTTTTCTTTAAACAGATTTTGATCGGTATCGTCTCTCTAATTATTACTTTATGGAAACCAATATCATCATTTTTTTCCGGTTTTATCGTTGGTTGTCTATTTGCTATAGCTACAGTGTATATATGGCTTCGAATGATTATTGATACCAAGGTTGATGAAACTGCCATAGAAGAATGGATTGATTTTCCTGCGCTTGATTCTATGCTTACAAAAATTGATAAAGAAGACAAGAATACTTATATACAAGTAAGTTTAGGTTTTCATCTTTTAAAAATATGTTAGGTTTAATAAATATGCTAGAACATCGATTTAAGCTCCAACGTACTCAGAAAACTTGATTTTTCATAAAAAATTCTTTCGAGATGAACATGTTGCCTGGATTATCTAGTGTATGAATTCATAGAAATAGTTGTGATTCTCGAAGGTTTTGGCAGAATTTTACAAATGATTTTTGAAACTCAGTGGAAAAATAATAATATCTAGAGTACTCAGTGAAATTTTCTTGTAGAGCTAGATCTATAAAATAAAAAAGTATTTTTCAGAAGTAATCAAATATTGACCATCTTAGAGACACACTTTTGAGGTCTACAATGGCATGAGGATGTGGATGTAGATCTTCTTCTCATTCACGTTCTCAAAGTACATTATTTTTACATAAAATAAAATACCATATTTTGTTGTGTTTTTACCAGTAAAAACTAAACAATATTACTAACCTTTAAAAAAATCTATAAGGTAACAAGCGAATTAAAAAGAATCATTTGTTATTATTCTATCTTGATTATGTTATGGATGAGATAACAAATATAAAGGCAATAGTAGGTAGCATAATCTACTGAGATGTATCTCGTATCTTCGAGACGACTATCCTATTCTGATTAGAAAATGTCATCGAAAGTATCAAAATACAGTTCGATTGGATCCTAGTCTAGATCCAAAAATTGTGGAGCCGACAGGCTCTACTAGTATGAGAATAATCTAATGTACATAGATAAGTGTTTCGATTAGCATGTAACGGGTGGTCCATGCAGAATGAAACACTGTTATTTCCTTGTTTTGAATAGCGCAGAAATAGCTCAGATAGTTCGCTACTAGCTCATTCGATAGAGAATTTTTCCGTTCTACAAAATTATATATTTTATGCAGAAAACATTTTCACAATTATTCAGTATCATACACAGGGCGGAAACAGCAGACTCCAGTCCCTTGGAGTCATGCGGAGTCAAGTAGATTCACATGGAGTCTTGCAAAATTCTTGCCTATCTTAATATTCTTTATAGAAATTTGATACTGCTATGCTTTAATCATGTTAATCATGTCTACCATCAGATGAAATAGATATTAGTCTCGATTTAGAGAGCAACTTACAGCATCTTCCTCTTTTTCGTACTCAGCCAGCAGGAAAACGACAGACTCCACTCCTATGAAGCATCTCGGAGTCCCGGAGTCTTCAAGTTTGCCATTTCTTCCTTAAACTGATCTGTTTGAAAAGTTCTTTTGACATAAATTGTCCAAAACAATTCCCAAAACAGATCAATATTGCCCAATACCCGGAAGTTGTATTCCAAAACAGAACAATATTTCCCAGCACTCGAAAGTCGAATTCCCAAAACAGAACAATATTATCCAGTACCCGAGAGCTGTATTCTCAAAGTAGTGCGATTTTGTTCTGTTTTGGGAATGGAACTTTCGGATACTGAATAATATCGTCATTAGGAAAATGACGGACTCCGTTTGCATGGAGTCAAGCGGAGTCATGGAGTCGGCTGTTTCCCCCTTGATCATACGACAAATTTTTTTAATCCAAAAGCCAATCCTACAACAAACAAGATAAAGTGGAATTTTTTTCAAATCAGCACGAATTCAATCAATTAAATTTATTTTTATTGGTGATTTTGTCTAGAATTGAGTAATCAAACGAATTAAGATCGAAGATGTTAGGCTGCCATGAATTGCAGAAAGGATGTTCGCATCATATTTGAGTGTGATGTTCAAATCGTTTTTCATCAGAAAAGAAAATTTTCCTGGATAAAGATTTTGTGATATTTTTTTTCTCGTACATATACCAAACAAGAATCTTTTTTGCTTTTGTGCATTCGCTAGCTTCGAAATAGCATGTTTTACATATAATTTGAAATACAAGTCATTTTCAATTATTCTTGCATGATTGATCTTGAGACATCATGCAATTTGACCAATTGTCTTGTCAATTTTTTCTTTTTCGCGTGAAGAAGATGTTGATTCATCCGATGAATTAATCTTTTTTCTCCGGTTTCGATCTGTACTTACAGTTTTTACCTTCATTTTACGTAATAGTAGAAAGATTATATTTAAAAAAGAAACTTTTTTTGCGTTTTTCTCAAAATGAATTTTTTCGATAATGATCCAACTGCAAACAAATTTTTCTCCATATACTTCATTCTAGAGAGAGAGAGAGAGCTGTGATTATTTTTGTATTAAAGTATTTCCATGAATCAAATATCTATGCAAAGTTTTATCAATATCTCATGTACCCTGCACAAGTTAGATTTTTAAGGAGAGTATTCATCTAAAGTAAAACAAAATAGTCAATTACTACGATCAAGGAAAATCTAACGATGATGAAAAGCTTATTTATGGTTGATAGGAGATGAAAAATATTGAAAACAAAGGAGACGTATTAAAGATAATTCTGAAGAATTATTCAGATAAAATTTTTCAGCGAACAAGATTTATTGAAATAATTGTTTTAGGTGACCGGTGCTTCGATGAGCTTTCACAGTTATGATGCTGATCGTAACGATGATTTTGCTCGTTATCCGTGTGATGTTCGACTTGATGGATATCGTCTTATTGTTCAACTTGCCAGTAAACAATGGAGCGAAGAAAAGAAATCCGATAAAGAAGTTAAGTTTATTGGATGTCGAGAATATTTAATCAAAGGTAAATATTTAAAAGAAATCATCATTATATTTAAATAAATTATTACGATTTTTCTTCAATTAACTTCAGAAGCTCGAATGATGCTCGTACCAGAAGCGACTTTAACACGTAGTAAATATTGGATGAATGATTATCCTATTGTCATACAAGATTTACAAATTCTTGATAAACAAATCTATAGCAAACAACAATTAGAAAAATCTAAACTTGATACAAATGATTTTTTTAAAAATAATGCAACGACTCTATCAATTTGGTTCGAAACTGGTCCACAAAAAGAAGAATGGTTTCATAAGTCAGTGTTTTTCTTTGTATGATTTATTTTCAGGCTACTTTATTTTTTGTGTGTTCTAGACTTTCTTTAGTTTTACGTAAAGGAAAAGAAGAAATCGAACGAGTCAAATATCTTCTCGCAGCCAGCATTGGATCACTATCATCTTCAATTTCGAATACATATCTAAACCGGCGTCAAGCTCAAACAGATGCTGACACTGTACTTGTTTCAAATCCTGTTACTGAAGCTAATATTCGCGCTTCGGTTATTGAAACACAGCTTAATGCTGAAGAGTTACAACAAAGAGTGAAAGTATGATGTTCAATAAATAATCTCATTCACAAGTTTTATTCTAATAGATTAATATTATTAATTGTTCTTTATTTTGTGTTAAGGAGAAAGAACCAGAAAATACTGAAAAAGATGCAAGTGGAACACATCGAACCATTGCAAGAAAATCAAAAAAAATAACACCGAATGAAGCTAGTTTACAAAAAGTTCTTCAAACACCTGAATGTTTAGATGAAGCAGCTATAACAATCAATTTCATGACTCGTCGACTTTTATGTGATATGTTTCATACTCCGGTTTTTAAAGATTTATTAAAAAATAAAGTTGAAATGAAATTAAAAGAAATTGCAGTAAGTTGTTTCTTATTTATCGATTCCAGATTTTTTTTCTCGAATTTTTTATATATGATTAAAGTATTCCTTTGTTTTTAATTTCATCTCTAAACTGTAAACTACAGCATTTAAATTTTACATACTTTTACCTTTTTAGTTGCTTTTGAAAGAGTTTTTATAATCTTTATTCATTGATATATTTCTTAGGTATCAATTCTTGAAAATCTTCGTGTTGTGTCCATTGACTTAGGTAAAACGTTTCCAATTATATTAAAAATTGAGCCAATGCAATGGAATACACAAGGTATTTGGTTCAATTTATTCCTCTATTATCGTGGTAATTTCAAGTAAGTTCAATATCAGAAAATTTATCAATTTTCTGCGATCAATTCACAAGAAAATTTAATTATCTCTGAAGATTATTTCGAAAGAATACACAATTTCGAAGATTTTCGAAAAAGAAATTTGAATTTTCTTAAGTTTTCAAATTGATTGTTTATGAAAAGAAGAACGAAAGGTGCTATAGTATTAGCATTGACACCAGAATCTTGTTCATAGAAATAACGGACTTTAATACCTATAGCATCTGTTGTTTACCTCCTTTTATGATCTAAGATAAGAACACTTTGTCTTCGTATGATCGAGATGATTCTTCTCCTAAGAGAATTTTCTTTGAGGTCGATTGGTTGTATGGTGTAGTAGAACAGCGGGAAAAAAATCCTTCTTTTTGTTGGAACATTTATTTTAAGAAAAATACAGAACAAACAATTTTATTTAACGTGTATTTTTCTTGTTTTTTGCTCATTCTGGACCCTTACAGAGGATCTTTTGTCAGCTATCGAACGCACGTATAAAGAGCTAGAATATCACCGATAATTTTTCTTCTTTCTCATATGTTGATTATTTCACGTTCACATCGTCGTTCGTTGATTTTATTAGTATCTTTTAGATAGTAGAGGACATGCGTGTGGATGAAAGCAAGTGATGAAAATCTCACGTCTACACTCAAATAGAACCGCACTTTCATAAAAACAAGACAATATATAACTCTGGTTGTCAATCATGAAATAGCAATGATTGATAAAATATGAAAAGCAACATTTACTATATAAGATAAACCCATAAGATTAGTACTTCTACGTACTCGGGCATTTTTTTTTCAAGATAGTAGTTGTCGAAACTAACGAGAAAATTACTTCGTTCCCATACACCTTTTTCGTCGTTTTATAATCAATCTAGGAGATTTTCGATTCATTTGTAAGTAGTCCACAAAAAATCAAATGACCGAAATTTGATCTAAAACGTGGTGTCTATAAATGGGTTTAATGACTCTTAGAATATATTCTTAAAGCTCCAGTCGAATAAAATGTTCCTTGGTCAAGATATTGAATTTCCGAAAACAGTTCTTTATCACAAAATCGAGTTCACTTGAAAATTCAATAAGTCAACGAAGAAAAATTCTTTTCGATTGAAACTTTCAGAAAATATTCTAAGAGTCAATAGATCTATTGATAGGCAAACTTTTGCATCAAAACTCAAGTAAATCAGTCATAACTCAGCGCCGAAGACCAATGAGGACGAACTCCTTTAGACTTTTTCTATTTTAACACTTGAGATAGTTCTTTGGTAAGTTTATTCAGGATTGATACCAATCTACACAGTTGTAATTTTTATAGTAATTGACAGACGATACTTCAGAGTATTTTTAGAAACAAAAGTTAGTGTTTGATTGCGAAAGGAAGGATCTTTCCAAATCAGTTCGGTTCATTTTTTTGAGTATATTAAGAAAATCTCGAATTTCTAATGCTTTAATCAAAAAAGATTGTTTCTGAAAATTTTCGATTGTGCAATTATTTATTAATTATTTTGAAGTTAATAATTTTATGATAATTCAATTTAGATTATCTATAAAAAGTCGTGTTATACTACAAAAATTGATTAATTATGATTCAAAAAATGATAAACCAATATTTGCACAACATCAAACATCACAAATTGTTCATCAAGATAATGAACATATTAATGAAGACGATTTAATTCAAAGACAAAAACTTTTAGCTAAAGAACCTGAAGTTCCAGAAATGTAAATAGTTTATCATAAGTTTATATAGATTGAAATAAAATAATTAACTTTAATTTATTCAAGGGCCGTAACACGAAAACTTGGTACTATTTTAACTAACTTAGCGTTGAATAAATATTTTCAAATGTTTGTTAATTTACCATTTGTAAAAACATTATTCGAGAAATTTTCTCAGCAAGACGTTGGAATTGATGTTGAACTGACGAGTTTTAGTGGTGTTCTTACAGTAAGTTATTCATTTTATATTTTTAGAAAAATTTTGTTTTTATTTCTAATACAAAAAAAATCTATTTTAGCTTAACATTCCTCCACCACCAAGTGATCGAATCTGGTATAAATATTTTATTCGCTTCATTTATATAATTGCTTGATATATTCTTTCAGGGTGGGTTTTCCAGAAATGCCTGATCTTAATATCAAAGTAACGCCAACATACGGTGAAAAAAAATATTCTTATATATTATTGCAAGACTTTCTCGCAGCTAAAGCTCGAGCTGAGTTAAAAGTTAGAAATTTTTTGTTTTTTATCTAAATAATATTTATTCGTTTATTTCGTAGCGTCTTGTTGTTCTTCCAGCTATGGATGATCAACTTTTACCATTCTTTCGAGATTGGGTTATCGATATTATGTGAGTCTTTTTTTTTACTTTCTAACAATTAAAATTTTAAAAAGATATTTACTAAGTTAGAAAATTTCGTTTTTTCTTCATCAAATGTTTTGAGTTGTCCAAAACTGATTGTTGTTTAGATTGAGCGTTTTTCTTTAGAACTTTTTTTTATGTTTGAATATTCTCGTTGTTTCTCGTGCCACTAATTTCAACGAAAGGCCCAATGCTTTTCTTGATGAACATGTTTCATACTTACTCAACTGTCAATAAACGTCGGTTTTGGTTGCCATTAAATTTTTCTTCTCAATGAACAAACTTTAACTCAGAAACAAATTCTTTATATATAATTAGAGAGAATATGAAATTCTAATTCTAGCTGATTATGTTTAATTCTCTTCAATGACTAATACGCCGACAAATATTGATCAGATATATTTTACAAAGACTTTGTAGGTGTAGGTTAGAGAATGTGACCTAGTTCTTTCGTATGAAATTTTTATCTGTGTTGTAACCATCTACTCTTGTACTATTCATATATATATATATCGACGTCGATTTCTTCTAACTATAAACTCTAAACTTTATATCAAATGATTGAGATAGCCCAAGTACTTAGTGTTACTTTATTGAAACGATTTCCATCTGAGATGAAACTTGGTTTAGGATTTTTATTTATTTATTTTTTTGTAAAAATCAATGTTTTTATTTTTATTATGTTCTGATTTGTCAAATTTCAATGGAAATGAGGCAAGAATAGATCGTTTCGAATGAAGATCTTAAATATTTACTTTTTCTCTGTGAATTTGAATTATCTGAAATGAAAATAAAACAATTGTTACGTAGTTTGCTAATATTTTCAAAAATGAATTCTATTTGTCTATTAATTGTTTTCTTTTTAGCGGTAATATTGTAGCTAAACCTGTCAATCCACTCACTGATAATTATAAAGCAAAATTAAACGTCCAAACTGCCGTTCGTGAAGGATTGCAAGAATACAAAAATGCCAAAAATGTTAAAAGACAATCACCAGTATTATCCACCGGTTCAGAGACAACACGTACTCAAACGTGAAATTGTTTTTACGTTAAAACTATATTTTCTTGTTTTTTTTTTCTATGATTGAGTAATAATTCTGTATATATGGTTAAATTAGGATTAACACATTAGAAAAAAATAATAAACAATCAAAGTAAATAAGCATAGCGTATTAAGCTGTATAGTTGTTTTACTAAGATTCAAATTAAGATCATGTTTCGCTTTAAACATTTTCTTTATTATTTAAGAACCTCGTGCAAATTTTGTCTGCTGTCAACTGTCGGTCTAAGATGTTAACACACACGTAAATGTTATGAATGATCACTATTATGCGGATAGTAAAAAGTAGTCAGAATCGTATTTGAGAAAACAATGCCATTGGAAAAAGGAAAACAAAGTCAAACTGTTATGAAAAATTCAAATAATCTATCGATTGTTTTTATCATAGTCATCGACTAAAAACATCAACAATTTTCTCCTTCAACTGTATGAAAATGAAATAGTTTTCCTTTATAGTCAATGTAAAATTACTGTGTGCTACAGAATTTAATATATTGTTTATTTTTTATCTATTTATTTGTTAACTGATAATGGAAACGATCAAAATCTCTACTGTTAGATCAATTTTTGAATTACGATGATAGAAAAGGATAACGATTACTTGCTTTTCTTCATGCAATTCTCTCTACAATCCAAAAAGGCCTACAAATGTAAAAAGAATAACAATCATACATGACAGATAGGCAAAATATTCTTAAAAAAGCATGCATGCAACCAGGATTTTATCCTGAATATAAATTTTAAATTATTTAAAAATAAATAATGGTCATCAACAAACGGCATAGAGAACTGTCACGTTAATCAATCGAAAAGAAAATTTCTTAAATATTTTTCAATTACATGTTAGCTCGTTGTATACAACCTTCGTAACGCATGATTCTTATTGTTAAAATAATATTCGCAACTACCAAAAACATATCGATATACCATAATCAAGAAAATACTTTTCGAAAATGTACTCCTATGAAACAACGTGCTCTATATCAGAATATAATATATACAATTTTTTTCCATTCATATTGAATTAGTTTGCAGTCTAGCACAATGAATACAGGCGAACGTGAGGAATTGTATGTACTATGTCGAAGTATTCGACAAAGATTAAATGAAGAAAACTCAGAAATTGAAAAATTCGGCAGTGCAAACAACATTGCTTCTGATTCTGTTGTATAATCAACGATTCGGGTTTGTTTTGAAAAACAAAACCTCTATCAGTGTTTATGAACCAGAATGGATGTAATACCTACTGGTATATCAAAATATGTGTTTAAAATGAAATAATTCCAAGGTATTTACGATGATCGTTCCGATCTTACTTAGGGATCCTCATCAGATAAATTTAAAATTCTAATATATCCTCCATATCTATTTTAGTCTCATATCAAATTAAATCCATAGTTTATGAAACTCAAAGAAAAACTTCCAACTATCCTATTTTTTAAAATGCCGAAAATTAAGAATATACGAATCAACAATTTATTCATGATGTTTAAATAGGTATAAACATATTAATTATTAACTCTATTGAAAACTTAATGTGCAAAAGTCAAATATATTATTGCATTCAAATAATTCAAACGTTACTCATATTACAATGATTTACAATGAAACATATATAATATAATAAACCACTTGATGAGGGTCTGAGAAGACAAAAACAACCGTTATTATAATACATCCATATTCTACTTACTATTAATTTGATCCGAAATGACACTAAGATTGTTAGGAAGAATACATTAGAATTTCAAATTTACCTGATGATGACCTTAGGCAACGTCGAAATGATTGTTGTGAGTGGCTTGGAAGTATATCACATTAAACATACACTTTACACCCAAAGCCCATTTCGACTTGTAGGTTGAATATTTTTAGTCCTTTGAGCTTCAGTGGAACAATTTCGCTGTGATATTTTGTAATGAATCGAATACCAAAATTTGAACAAAAAGTTGAACTTTTGAAAATAAACACTGACCAATTTATTAATGAAAAACAGCGACACTTCATTCGAAATCATCCATTATACTTTTATTATTCTGATGATGTCGTCGATAAAAAAATCTACGAATTTTCTTTTGTCGTAAAAAAAACACCAAGACGACTTTATAATCAACAACAATAGCTCATTGTTGTTTAAAAACAGATATAATTAATCCCATGTTATTTTCTCTCACTCTCAAATGTTTCTTTCCACAAATCGTTCCATACCAGCTTGTGGTGTCTCCGTCGCTAATTATTACACACCAAGCTGTTCCATACGTTTCATCAAGCCAGTCGCTAACATCTTTGGCGATTTTGTACGTATTCGATTTCCCATGTGTATCAATCGTAGTGCTAATCGTGCTCAATATATTTATTCTCATCACGTCAGTGATTCCACTATCTTGTGTTTTAATTTCCCATCGTGCCATTGTAGTTGATTTTCGAAAAGCGAAATCACAAATATTAATTTTCTTTTCTAAAAAAAAAGCCTAATCGACAAGAAAGTGATTGTGAAATGTTCTGTTCAACCACTCAGATCTCAGAACTAGGTCACTTGATCAACAAAGAACCCTTCTTATTGAGAACTACCACCGTCAAAAGTCGGAGATAAATTCTCATCATGTGTTGTTTAGAATGATACCTCACTAAAAACTACTGATACAAAGGAATCGAAATCGGAAATGAATTTCGACTATTTATTTCACTTTGTTATAATTCACCTAATGCTTTCAATATTCAGAAAAAACTCCTTGAATTTAGTTATTTGTTCTGGAAGAATGGATGCTTTTCATTATAAGTCTTGGAAAAAGAATAATTGAAGTTCTTTTTAGATTTCCTCATACCAAGATTTTCAACAAAATATGAATATGTCGCAACTAGTTTTTCTTCATATCAAAATGTCATCTATTGAATAAAAACACTGAATGAATGTTTCTTCGCGCTATTGATCTATTTGAATATGCTTCAATATTTTATTTGTTTTCGTCAAACTCAAAATGATGCTAAATCATCGAAAATTTCTTTGATAATTTGTTGATTTCCAAATCATTATTAATAAACACAATTTATCTTAATACTTTTGGTTTTCAATCACTATTTGATTCAACTTCTTTCAAGAAACTGAGTCACTGATTTCGTTGAACGTTATTAGAACTTACACTAGATTTCTCTATACTCTATCTGTAAAATAAATAGTGATGGTGACTAAACTGACACTTTTTACAAAATACTTCTCTAGGTTAAAGGTGTTAGTAGAACTTTAAATTCAATTTTTTTCGAATTTCACCTTCGGATAGTAGATCACAACTATAAATTGAAACTTTTGTTGGAATAGAAGAAAAGCAACAAATGTTTATTTTAAAAAATTTTGTTTAAAAAGCAACTATTTACATTATGTTTGCTAAAGTGTTTCAAAATTTTAAAAATACGAAAATATGTGGTGCCAAAACCGATTATGTCATTTGGATCACTCTTTATCTTACCGAACGAATGTATATAATAGGAGTCCAAGGTGAATCATTTTCGTGAAGAATAAACCAGATGAAAAGATTCTTTGTCGTCTAACTATCTGAAATGAACAGAAATCGAGTTAGAAGTCATTTTTGTTCAGGGATATTGTTAAATTTCAAGGTTATTTTTAATCGTCAAGATCGGTCGTAATTTGATTTGCAATGCTAAGGAAAACGTGTTTGCAGTATGACTCTTGACATCTTCTCCACAATCAGAAGATGTCTCTTCAGATCAATGTGCCGTCTAAACATTAAATTTATTCAACTTGCAACTGTTTAGCTCCATTCTTCAAAAGTTGAATAGGCTATTTTGTTTCAAGTGTAGCGATAGTGGTAATGTATTTACTTCTATATACGAGTAACACATGTGGATGAAGAACATAATGACGCACGACTCATACTCTTTTTGGGGATGAAGAAAGTGAATCTGCTGATAACAGTGAAAATAAAACAGAGAAAGAACACTTTTCGCCTTCACTACTGCAGTTATTTACTGCATAAAGAACGAAAGCAAATAATTTAAGTATAACTTCATGTTCTTTTTCTCGAGGAAAGAGAATGAACATCCATCACCAGTATAGTAGACTATGGCCGTATGGTTTTTATAGCTCTCTCATTACTCTTTGCATTGGCATATTACTTCTTTTAGTCTAAAACAAAGATTGAAAAAAAGAAGAAACGCAAATGCGCAGGCAAAAAGGCACATCATATCTATATATTCGAAAACACGCCGACTCCCACACATACAGAGACATACCGATAATGTTTTTTTTTGTCATTCAAAAGGAATGAATTGAAAGAGAAAAGAGGCAAAGAGCGAAAAAAAACGAACAAAAGCATGTAATATATGGCATTAGAGCAAACAGAAAAGAACAAATCATCTAACTAAAGGTGTATCATAATCGATGATCATGACACATTGATCAGTCATAATACGAAGCCTGAACGATATAAAATGTCTCCATTGGTGTTACTGATAAATTCGTGAAGAATCTCATTGGAAAAAATGACTCGAACTCGTCTATTTTTAAGATGGCAAGGATGGTTTCTATTAGTTATCAGTTGAACCCGACATTATTCATTGGTCTAGGTCATCTACAATTGAGAAGAATATTTTAAAGCGAATCGAAGCACTTTTCATAATTCTAATTTAACGTACAGATAGACTCTGAAGTTTTTCTGTTTGTTGAAAAAATCAAACTCTATCTGTTATGACCGTAATTCATTTTGGGACAATTTCACAAAAGTCATTTGTTTCGCAGTTGACAAACTAATTAGTATTCTTCCGGCTTTTGCTCTAATATGACTTTCTAAGTCCCATAAAACCACACTGTTCTAAAGAAAAATCTTCCTTTCACACGATGAACTAAAAGAGACCTTAAACTGAAATCGACGTGATACTCAAGCTCTATAAAACCGGTAAAGTGTAGACGTTTTTTTGAAACCTGGAGCATCAATTTCGCCACAGACGGGTATGGATGAGTG